CTTTGGGTTACTTATCACTGGGTGCTGCCATGTGTACGTGTGTGACACACCTGTTAATAAACTTCTGTCTTTCTCTTGTTAATCTGTCTTTTGCCAGTCTGCTGTATAGGCCCTACTCAGAGAACCTAAAATGTGTAGAAAAAAAGATTTTTTTTCCCCTACAGTAGCCTCGGCCATTGTCTGAACTTGACAGGTGTTATTAGTAAATGGATTATCCTAAATTGTAAATCATAGCTTTACTTACAATTTTGCATTGCACTAACATAGGAGGTGAGCAAGAAAGGAGAAACGATAACAAGATAAGGTAATTCGGGGATGGCAAAACAATTTGATTCAAACATTGTATGGCAGTCAGTTGTATAAGTTAAGGAGGTTATGTCTAGGGTTGCCAGATTTAGTAAATGAAAATATAGGATACCCAGTTAAATTTGAATTTCAGGTAAACAACAAACCTTTTAGTATGTTCCTTAGCATATGCATTTCTCAAACGGGATTATCAGAGTAGATTGACTGTTAGAGAAGTTGTGTATTAGATTCAAAAAGAAAAACATTTTAATATGAGTATGTCCCAAATATTACATAGGATATACATACACTAAAAAAAAAATTCATTATTAATCTAAAATTCAAACCTAACTATGTGACCTTTATTTTAACTGGCAAGTCTAGTTATGCTATCATCAGTTTAAAGATAATCTACTGAAGCAAATGTATTAATTCATCAGAAAGACTAGTATTTTAAGGCTGGATTGGAATTTGAGATTCTTTAGTCTAACAAGTTTATTTTTAGATGAGGGTAGGAAGTGTTGTGTTATGGGTCATGGAGCAAGTTAGTCTTAGAACTAATCTGACTCCCAAGCTCTCTGACTCACAGTTTACTCAGTCCCCTTCAAAAAACAAAACAAAACAAAACACATTTCTGATACTTGTATTTCAGCTCTGTTCTTTTAAGTTTCATTTGCCTTTTCTTCTTTGTCCACTTTCTTATCAAACAGATCATCATTAAAAGGCTTTTTTAAATCGTTGTTGATAGACAATCTGAGTAGTTAGTAAGATGTCACAAAATGATAAACCTATCTGCTCGGGTTCACATATCTATAGTTCTATTTCATAATTAAAATAGTTATTGAATAAAATTCTGGAAGTATAAAAACATACAAAGAATAAAATAAAAATTATCCATAATTTTCCAAATTTTTCTGCAGAACAATTGGTTCAGTAAATAGTTGATGAGCAATATATGGGAGAATACTTTCCTCCACTTTTGTCAACCATAGTGATTGGCAGTTAAAAAATACAGTTTTTCCTGACCTGACTGTGTTGCTCAGTTGGTTGGGCATCATCCGGTGCTCTGAGAGACTGCCAGTTTCAAATCCTATTGACGCATCTGGTAGTGGGCTTGATCCCAGAGGCAGGTGATTGATGATACACTCTCACATCAATGTTTCTCTCCCTCTCCATTTCTCTCTCTCTAAAAATTAATAAAAGTGTTTTTTTTATAAAAGTGTTCCTGAAAGAAGTAAAACAATGGCATGAGGTTATTTAATTTTTATTTCATTGGTAACAAAGGAGAGGTCAAAAAATTTTCATACATTTCTAGACCATTTTTACTTTGTTATAGTTAATTGTATATATATATATATATATATATATATATATATATACACACACATATATATTTCCCATTAGAGTGCTTATTTTCTAACTAACAAATTTAAAAAATATATCAAGATTCTTAATCTTTTGTTTTATTGCATGCCAGCAATATTTTTTTCTAGTTTGTCATTAGCTTTTTAATTTTATTTGTGAATGTTATTATGCAAAAATTCTGAGTTTTATGTAATTAATTCTATCAATTTTTTTCATAGTCTTTGAACTTATGCTGAGAAAGACCTTCTTTCAGCTGCAAAATATAAATACTCATCTGCATTTTTCTTCATTTTTTAAATGAACAAGTTGAGTTGTTTGCATTTATTTAACTCTTTAACTCAGCCTGAATTTTTTGGTGAGCAGTTTTCTTCTTGGTTTTGGGGATCTGGGCATCTATACTAATAAAAGGGTAATATGCTAATTAGACTGAAGACCTTTCAGAGAAAGCCATGGTGGCAGGGCCAAGGCAGAGGCTGTTAGGGGTGATCAGGCCTGAAGGGGAGGACAGTTGGGGGCAAGCAGGCTGGCAGGGTGGCCAGTTGTTGGGCAAGCAGGCCAACAGAAGGGGGGGGGGCAGTTGGGGGTGAACAGCCTGGCAGGCAGAGTGGTTAGGGGCAATCAGGCAGGCAGGCAGGTGAGTGGTTATTGTGAGAGTCCCATATTGTGAGAGGGATGTCTCACTGCTGGTTTAGGTCTGATCCTTATGGGGTCCCAGATTGGAGAGGGTGCAGGCTGGGCTGATGAACACCCCCATGCATGAATTTCACACACCAGGCCACTAGTTTTAAATAAATTTAAAGGAAATAATTTGTAATAAAAACAGATATTTACATACAATCATTTTTTCCATTTTTACATATAAGAAGTAGATATGGCCGAAACCAGTTTGGCTCAGTGGATAGAGCGTCGGCCTGCGGACTGAAAGGTCCCAGGTTCGATTCTGGTCAAGGGCATGTACCAGGGTTGCAGGCATATCCCCAGTGGGAGATGTGCAGGAGGCAGCTGATCAATGTTTCTCTCTCATCGATGTTTCTAACTCTCTATCTCTCTCTCCCTTCCTCTCTGTAAAAAATCAATAAAAATATATTAAAAAAAAAAAGAAGTAGATATGCAAAAATTGTCTAAATGTTGTGAATCCAGGGCCATTCAGGAGAGAACACTTTTTTTTTTTTTTATGCTTTAATGCTTCAAAGGACCACTGAACAAAGAAGGTTTTTCTTTTTCTATTGACCTATTATATTTGCATAATCTTTCCTGATGTCACATAGAAGAGAGAAGACCTGTTATAGCATCAGAAGGCAAAACTAGGACAGATGGGTGAAAGTTACAGAGACAGAAAGAACTCAGCTCAAAGAAGGGAAGAAAATATGCCTGGAAGTCATTGTTCTGACCTTGCAGTCTAGTCTGTGCTCAGAGGCTGTGTGTGGCTTTGCTCCGCGACATGCCCTTCTTCAGGCTGCTTTGTGATTAGAGTTCTCTATTACCATGAGAACAATTCTTTTAGTTAAATAATTTAAAACTCATTCTTCTAGTTACTATTTATTATCTTACAACTGGGTGCTAAGAGAACATTTTTATTTTGTTCATGATTTTATGTGTCAGGAATTAATGTTAATTTGGGCTTGGGGTCTCTCTGGACATTGCAGCCAGTTGCTGGCTGGGCTGCATCATCTGAAGGCTCTACTGGGCTAGATGTTCTAGATTGGGGTGGGCAAACTTTTTGACTCCAGGGCCACAATGGGTTCTTAAACTGGACCGGAGGGCCGGAACAAAAGCATGGATGGAGTGTTTGTGTGAACTAATACAAATTCAAAGTAAACATCATTACATAAAAGGGTACGGCCTTTTTTTTTTTTTTTAGTTTTATTCATTTCGAACGGGCTGGATCCGGCCCGTGGGCCGTAGTGTGCCCACGGCTGTTCTAGATGGTTCAGTCACATGGCTGGCAGCGGATGCTGGCTATTGACTGGGAGCTCAGTGAGGACTGTTGACTCCTACATGTGGTCTCTTGGGCAAAGGGGACTCAGGGTTGTTAGAATTCTCAATGGTACCTGGTTTTCCCCAGAGCAGGTGGAAGCTGGTGGTCTCTTCTGATAAAGCCTTGGGAGCCACACAATGCCACCTCTATTTTACTGTGTTGGTTAAAGCAGTCACAAGCCCACCCAGACTCAAGAAGAAGGGATATACAATCCACTTCTTATTGAAAAGAGTGGAAAAATATTTGAGGCCATTTTTTTAAACTGCCACACCTGTCGACACATGTCTTCTGTTTCCTGCTGTTTCTTCACCCCTGGTTCATGTTTCATGGCTTCTTATCTTTGTGAGTTTTCTGCGCTTTGTTTCACTGCAGAGACATAATAGGGTTTGAAGGAGTTTGCCAAAAAGGGGACTTATGACCTCTGTCTGTTTATAAAACACTAGAGGCCCAGTGCACGAGATCCACGCACTGGTAGGGTCCTTAGTGGCTGCCAACTGCCAGCTGCCAGCTGCTGGCTGGGTATTCCCTCCCTTCCCCCCACCGCCTGCCAGTGCCAGGACCTCCATCCCTTTCCCCGGCTGGTCCGCCCCCTGGTCGAACTCACGGAAGAACTCTGGTCAAGGGGACAATTTGCATGCTATGCTTTTATTATATAGGATTTTAAGCCAACCATTCAGAGAATATTTCATGTCAGTTTTACACTGACCTACTATCTTCAGATTTGTTGACCATCAAACACATAAGCACCCTCTAATTTCACTAGGTGTTCATTTACTTCTAGAAAAACTCTAACTTCGCTAAAGAGAGATGGTGCAAATATGGCACAGTGTTCCTGGGCTCCATTTCAATTTTCTACGCTAGAGTTCTAAGGTTGACCGTGGCCACTGGCCCATAACTCTCCAGGGTGACAGGCTGAATCTGCTGCTCTTCATGGATTTCTGCGATTGACCCTCTGCCACCCCAGACTCAGGTAAGCCTTTGGCCAGAACCTTTGTATAGAGATTACATGATACAAGGAATGTTATAGAGAATGCCTTCCTGGATAGAATCTCCTTTAAGCTTGTGCATTCTTTTTATACAAAAATTTTGAGAGGCTAGGTAGGCTAAATAGGCACAAGCCCAAACAATTACAGTGGAGAATACTAAGTTACAAATAAGTTTATGTAATTCACATGGCATTGCCCTAACCTGGAAGCCAAGGAGTCAAGCAGTCAGCTCCTGCATTTGCTGTCTGGCTGCGTCCGCGGAGCTGTGTGCCTGCTTTAATTGGGGCATGTTTACAGTTCCAGAGGGTATGAATGCAGCATCTGTTTTGTTGGTTTATGTCCCAATAACATCACACTGACCTAGGATTTGTTTGAATCAACTGCTCTGGAGTGCGGACAGCTTTTTCCTCCCTTCAGCCTGTCAGAGACCCAGAGCAGTGGAGTGGGGAAGCGGCGAAGTTGTGGAACAGCAGCTGCAGTGCTGAGCTGCGCTGCACCGTTTGAGGGGCTGGCAACCACGACCACATGATTGGCCTAATGATACAGTGAAAGCTGGATATGGTGAGTTAAATCTCCTTTTTTTTTTTTTTTTTTTTTTTTTTTACCTACTTTAGAAACAAACCTTCATGCTGTTCAAGTTAAAAAAAAATGTAAATGGGCTGGGCAGAAAACCCTGGCTATCTATACAATACATTATAAATTCAATTAACCATTTTGAAGGGTTATTTCTTTCAATAAAACATGCACTTGTCAAAGTTTTGTTCAGTGATATGTGGTCATCATCTAGGGATCAGACTTCCCTTTGTAAGCAAGTGCTCTGTTATCTGCCCCTTTGCTTCCTAATCCATCCATTTTGTGCCCACATAATATCATACCTAACCCTTAGGTTACCTCGACTTGGAGATTGTTTTCTGCCCTAAACAGAAAAGGTATCAAAGTTGTCTGGCATTAGCAAATGTTGGCCGAACACAAGGCCCTTCTCCTGAGACCTCTCTTGTATTCATTAGTCTCAGCTCCCCAAACTCTCTTCTTGGTTTTAGATCTTCATCCTGCACTGGTGGTGGATACCTGCCCAGTGCTCCTGCCTTTGCCCTCCTATTTGCCTCTTACATCACAGTGTAACACCAGGGAGCCAGCCATTGAACACTACTCAGCTGCCAGGTGATGTTTGCTTAGCATGAAGCCATTCAGGAACACTTTCCTATCACAGTAATAAAGAACAGAGTCTGTGCATTTCTCCCTAGAAGGCAGGAATCTGGTAGGATTGTGTTTTTGATCTTTGGAGGTCTACAGTTCAATAATTCATCCAACACACATTTGCTGTGTGCTTAATATGTGCAAGGCGTGGGAACACAGCAAGAAAATTTGACATCAAAGTGCTATGAAAAAAATTTAAGCAAGACGATGCAATAGAGAGTGACTGGGGACCAAAGGTTGAGAATTAATTATAAATTCAGTTGTTAGAAAAGGCATCTTTAATGGCATAGAGACCTACAAAACAAGAAACTAGTCAGGCGAAGTTGTGACGGAAAGAATATTCCAGGTTGTGAAGTGTGTAAAGGTCTTAAGGAGAAATGGATCCTAACAAGTGCACATGGGCAGAGGTGAAGTGAAATGAATTAGAGAGGTTGACATAAAGATCTTTAAAGACCTTCTAGGCCAGAGTGAGGAGTTCGAGTTGTATTCTTAACAGTTATGCTAAGCCATTGGAGGGTTTTAAATAAGAGAATGGCACTCTCTGAATTTATGTTGGGGCTAAGACTTGAAACAGATACCAGCTAAAAGGCTAGATGTGTTTTTTTCAGGTAAGAGATGATGGTGAGATGCATGAGAGTGTAGTATCCCTACTAGACAGGAATGGTCAAATAACAAGCAGGACTTGATGAATTTAGATAGTGAATGGAAGAGAAAGGGAAAGGATGGCTTCTAAGTTTTCAACTTGAGCAGCTAAACAGATGGTGCCATTTACTGAGGTGGTTAAGGCAAGAGGGGAAGTGAATTTGGAACTTGTATTTGGAGTCCACAAGAAAGGTCAGATTTGGGAACTGTACCTGTATACATTGTATCTGAACTCATCAACAAGATGCAAATAGTTTTTCAATTAATGTGTTATAAGAAATGCAAAAGACAGGGCAAAGAAATAATTCATTAACTTAAAAAAGAGGAATCTGAGAAGTGGCTTAATGCTTCTATTGTAGAGAATAGCAAGCAAAGAAAAAATGGACTTCATCTAAAGCAGAAGAGATTTATTGGAGCTAAACAGATACATAAACCAAATTGAACACTTGAAAGGAAGCTAGAACAACTTCACTATGATTTTTAAAAACTACATGTAAATGTACAGCAAAGTGCATACATTATATGTGTATAACTCATTGCATTTTCACAAATTATCAACAAACAACATTATCAGTACTATAGAGACCCACCCCATGTTCCCACTATTAGAAAAGTGACTTCTAATAGCCTAAATTAGCTTTGCCTCTTTTAAAACTTTACACGAATGGAATAATATGTTACATACTATTTTGTATCTATTTTCATTTAACATTGGGTTTGTGAGATAGTATAATGTAGTTACCTATTCTACTGTTGATTATCATTTGGGAAGTTTCCAGTTTGGGCTTATATAAATAATGCTATCATGACCATTCAAGTACATATCTCTGAACATATTTCTGCTGGATGAATAACTAGCAATGGAATTCCTTGATTGCAGTGTTTGCCAATGTTCAGCCTTAGTAGATGCTGCCAAGTATTTTATTTTCTTTAATTGTTTTTATTAGAGTGTAGTTGGAATATAGTATTATATTTGCTTCAGGTATACAACATACCAGTTCAACATTTATATACCTTATGATATGATCACCACACTAAGTCTAGTAACCATCTGTCACCATGCAAAGATATCATAATATTAAACATTTTCCAAAGTAGTTGTAGCAATATACACTTGCATTAGCAGTATAGGAGAGTTAAGTTGTTCCAAAGCCTTGACACTACTTGGTATTGTTAGTCTTTTTCATTTTAACAATTTGATCACACAAGTGGCATTTCATTATAGTTTTAATTTGCATTTCTCTGATGAGTAAACAATTGCAACACATTTTTATATTTTATTGCCTACTTGGGTATTCTCTTTTGTGGAGGGTCATTTCAAGCCTTTGGATCATTTCTCTATGGATTTTCTATCTTTTTTCTTAGTGGATTATAAGAGTAATTTTTATTTTTTATGAGTGCTTTATCAGATTTGTATGTTGTGAATATAATTAGTTTACTCTATATGTTGCCTTTTAAATTTTCTTAATGTGCCTTGTGATAAGCAGAAGTAATTAATATTAATATAGTCAAGTTTTTGTATTTTATCTTCATGGTCAATTTTTTAAATGCCTTATTAAAAATATTTGTCTACCTCAAGGTCACAACATTTTTTATGGTATATTCTTCTTTAAAATATTTATTTATTTTCTTTTCACATTTAGTTACACATTGCACTCAAAATTGGTGTGTGTGTGTGTGTGTGTGTGTGTGTGTGTGTGTGTCCTTCTATAGATATTCAGTTGACTCAGTACCGGTTTTTCAAAAATCCACTCTTTCCCCAGTGCAGCATGGTGTTATGGTGTTATATTTGTCATAAGCTAGGTGGCTGCAAATGGGTAGGTTCTTAAAGATTTTTAACATTGAACTGAAGCTTACCTTTCCTCCATCAAATGGTAACTGTTACAAACAGATAATTAAACTTGAAATATAACTTAAAGGTCTTCTAGTCCAGTGTCTCAAAGTGTGGTCCTGAAGCAGCAACAGTAGCATTTTCTGGGAACTTAGTAGGCATGCAAATTCTAGGTCTCTACCCCAGACCTACTAAATCAGAAACTCTAGGAGTAGAACTCAGAAATCTGCATTAACAAACCCTCCGCGTGATTCCGATTCAAGTTCAAATTAGAGAAAATCCTAGCTCATCTTTTATTTATAGATGAGTGTACTGAGGGCAATTCAAACAATGTTTTTGTTTTGTTTTGGTTTAGTTAACAGTTAGAATTAATGATGAAAATATATTAATTTTACTGTTATGAATCAAATTTGAGAATTTTAAAATATTTGACATTTTTAACCTGAACAAAATGGTTAGTACATTTAGTATAATAGGAATTTATTGTGAGTGGAGATTTTTAGAGGATGGGTTTAGAAACTCTTTCCCTGTGCCACTGCATGCCCCCAAATCAGTTTGGGCCAAAAGGGGAAATGCCCCCAAAACAGAAAAGTGATGAGCTAAGTGAGTTCTCCAGGATTTTGCAAGCTATTGTTTGTGAAATGTACCCATCTCTTGAAAGCTTTTCAGATCTATTTTTGGTCTAAAATATAATTTCCTAGATAGTCTATCTATCCTATATAATAAAAGGCTAATATGCAAATCAACCAAATGGTGGAACGATCAGTCGCTATGACGTGCACTGACCACTAGGGGGCAGATGCTCAATGTAGGAGCTGTCCCCTGGTGGTCAGTGTGCTCCCACAGGGGGAGCGCTGCTCAGCCAGAAGCCCTGAGCTGGGTTCATGGCTGGCAAGTGCAGCGGTGGTGGCAGGAGCCTCTCTCACCTCCGCGGCAGTCGGACATCCCCGGAGGGCTGCCGGACTGGGAGAGGGCACAGGCCAGGCTGAGGACCCCTCCCCCCTGAGTGCACAAATTTTGTGTACTGGGCCTCTAGTATCTTAATATTTAAATGAGTGCAGTCCCTACTCCCAGAACTTCTGAGATGGAAGCACCTTCTCAGTGCCAGACTCTGTGAACATTGGTCTCTCCTAAGCAGCCCTTAGTGGATTATGTAGTGAAAGCTCCTTTCCATCTTCATGGTTGCCTCCTTCAGCTCCGGGAATGAGCTCTCATCCCAGCGGCATCTACAAGTTCCTCGTTAGAAGAAGAGATTTAGCAGATGTGGAGAAGTCCTATGAGTTGTTGCTCATTACTTGTTCTCTTCCTGAAATCACATGGTAAAGCAGGTGTGCACTGCGTAGAGACTGCTTTCTGGAATGCAGATGAGGTAAGCTGGGAATTGCCTCCAAAATACTTCTAAACCTTCACTGATTAGAATGAGCAGAGAAAAGAACAGAGAGACACTGAAGGCTTTTCAAACTAAGCTCAACTTCTGCTCCTATGCTTATTGGCCAGTTGGTATTTTGCCACTCATTTGCCTTACTCTAGGGCTGCATCTTCAGGAAAGGCGATTTAGGAAATATACAAATCAGTTAAAAAGAGCTGGGTTCTCTCCTTCTCCCTTTTTTTGGAGATTTTAGGGCAAGCGTTCGAATTCTCTTGCGTTCTTGCGCCAGACTATTTCTTAGAAACTTAGCTTTGTGGGACTTTCTCATGAAAAATGAGTCAATATTTCCAAGGCAGCACATGAAAAGGAAATCCTAAACCATCAGGTATTATTACTATTATCTATACTAAATTTTATCTTCTTTTGGAAATTGCCTTTTCCCTGTTTGCTTCTATTTTAATAATTTTAATATGTTAGCGTTTCGTAACCTTCACATTATTTGTTTGCAGAGTAGTAGAGTTC